GCCCAATATAATTTATGAAAATATTTTCCAAGCCCAGACCAGCCCAACCAATAATAATTTTATAAAAAAATTTTCTCAAACCTGGCTAACCGATAGTAATTTAAATTTTTTTTTCCAAGCCTGGAGATAGGTAAATCTCTAAAAACCATTTCTATTTTTTAGTCTATTTTAACCCAGCTCACCCCAACCAAGGCCAACCTATTAAGACTTAGAATGAATACTATTTTTTTGAATAAAAATATATTTAAATTAGAATTTACCTGAGGGCCATATAAATATTATGTGTTAAATATTACACCTATGCCTAATATTAAAAAAATTCCCAAGCCAGGTCCTCGCACTTGGTTTTCTCAAACCCGCAAAAGACCATAATAATTTTGATAGTTGAGGACTGAAATAAAATATATAAAAAGTCACAATGCATTTAAAAATACAATCAGAATATGAAAGTTGCATGGGTCTTGGTTGATCAGGCCTTGCCATGTCTTCAAAAGAAATTTTAAGGCCAATTTCTAGCCCATATTTAAAATTAAAAAATTTACAGGAATCTTAGACTATAATAATTATGAAAAATGTTTCTCAAGCTATGTCCAAGTCTATATTAATGGTAAAAAATATTTCCCAAGCCCAGGAAAACCCAAATAATTTATTTTGATCCAGAAAAATAGGTCTGATGTAAGGGGTTTATAAGAATTAAATCTGTCTAATTTCAAAATTATCATCAAGTGAAGGGTAAATATCTGATTTAACTATGATTCTACTGGTGAGCTCCTGGTATTTATATGAAATTCATGAATACATATTAAAGTACCATTCTGAAAATATGTTCATCTTAATTTAAATTTTAAACAAACCAAATGATTTATTACTTATTTACAAAATATAAAATTAAATTTAAGAAATTGTTATTAAATTACAATAGAAAAAATAAAAAGATATGTCGAAGTTAACAAATAATAGGAGGCAATCATAGTCAAATTATATATAAGTAAAACAAAAAGGTTATACATTTAATCAAAAATGTTATAAGTTATGAAAAACATACATTCTACAATCATGAAGTTATGAGTAAATATACAAAATTTTCCTATCTTATGAGGTTTTATTTAAAAATTCATATTTATTTTAGGGTTATTCTAAAATTTTCCATTATTTATAAAATGTGTTAATGATTTGATCAGGCCTGGCTATGTCTGCAAAAAAAATTTCAGACCAATCTATAACCCATATTTAAAATTCAAAAATCTTAAAGCACCTCTATTTTAAATTTTATCCAATAATTTCCATCACATTTTTAAATTTTGATATTTCTAATACATGCTCACAGTATACATTGGACCAATTTTACCTCTTTTACTCTTAAATTTTAATATTTATATAAAATTTATTAATAAAGTATATTTAATACCATACACACACAAACTAAATAATTACCCTTCAACATCTTTATAATTAATATTAAATTTAATTATATTCAAGTTTGTATGCGTGAAACTTTAATATATATATAAATTAATATTATAAATATATTTGTATTCAAGTTGGTGCATGCTGTATAGGATATGCCTTTGAAACGGGAGGCTCGAGTTCGATTGAGCAAAAAATTAACATCACACTATATAGTCTCCTTAAATTTAAAATACATTAGGGAGATACGAAAACGATCGTGTTATGATTATGGAGATTATATATATTAGATTCTATCCTATTTCTTCAAATTGTTAAATTACATTACCATTTGCCAAAATTAATCAATCCAATCAGCATATGATTCTTTATGTTTCAAGTATTACATAATTGTAATTAAAAGTTATTTTAACTGATTGTATGGTTTTATTTAACGATCCTGTTATTACTGATCCAAAAAACAAAAAATTATAATATACATATATCCATTCCATTAAAATATTATATTTAAATTTGTACAATAAAATTTTAGTCCGGTGCCTTGTCTACATTAATAATTATTATTATTCAATAATATTTTTAATATAAAGAAAAGTTATTTGGAGATAGAATAATAAATAAAAATAAATTTGGTATTTATTTTATCTCCATTTTTAGAATAATAATAAAAAAAATTCTTCGAGAAATCCTGGTATTTTATATAATTAAGTGATGAGGAACTTAAATTAAAAAAAAATTAGGAGAGCATTGCTTATCTAATATTCAAAACACATATAAAAAATTTTTAAATTGTTCTCCTGTAAAGTTAAAAAAAGTATATCTATATAGAATAATATCATTCTAATCGACAAGTAAAAAAAATAAAAAGTGAATATTAAAAAATAAGAGTTAAAAATCTCCAACATTATTCGCGTATTTTATTTGCCTAAGAAAATTATAAAAAAAATTCTCCTGATCTTCTGCGAGTAATATAACAATACTTTTATAATTACTGGTATAAATTGGAATGTTAATAATAATAAAACAAGCATATAAATTATATAAACAATATATTCGATTATCACAACGGTAAATTATTCAGTTTAAAATATATGAAGGGTTATCCATTATAACCAAAACATGTAATTAATAACGTGGAAATATAGACGACAACTACCCCTTTGAGGAAGTCTATATCCTATTTCTATCATGTACTATATTTCTGAGGATCACAATTTGATCAATCACCTATTATAATATTAAATTTTTATGAAAGTATAATTATATTTAATAATAATCCCTCCAATAACTAGATCTTGTAAATTCTCAAGATTTGAATAATTATGCTTTGCTTTATAATTCCTTGAGGTTCATTTGATTGACTTATCCCATAACATGTGTGATTTAACCCTTTAGTATAAAATTACAACTTCTGAGTAAATTTGAAGGGGTTCTATCATAATATCTGTGGCCCTTTTTCATGTATAAACGGATTGGATTGTGGCAAGCCCATTAATATCTGACGGGTGAGCATGAACAATTTTAAGTACCGTATTTTGATTGTAAAGTTTTGTTGATAATATCGCTTGGCATTTAAACTAGGAATACTTTAAGAATCGCCATAATTATTATTTTATATTTTTTTATTAAAACATTATCATAATTAATATTTAGACTTGAACATTTTATTTTATTATAATTAAAATATTAACAATTATATTTTAATTTCTTCTTTATAAACCTTATGTTGATAAGTAAAAATCCATTATAATGCTAATAAAATTAAAAAATTAAAACAATTTAAATTTATTTTTGGATCTAAATATTAAATACAATGGCACCTTGTTTCTTGACAAAAATATATAAAAACACAATGTTAAATCATATTATATTTCAAAATTTAAGCCGGGTCAGAATATATTTTTTGAATATTAGGCCAGACCTAGCACGAGCAAAATAAAATAATCAAATATAAGTAGACAAAATTTAAATAAACTAAAGCCCGAAAAGCAATTAAATACACTGATTAAATAAGATCGATTAAGTGTTCCCGGTCATACTTTCACCGAACTCTAATATTCTTATATTTCCTATTAAATTGTTAATAATTTACATTTATTTTTATTATAATTATTTTTTTTATTTTTTTTACAAAATTTAAACTTTCTAGAATTATTATAGTATAAAACAATTTTGAATGCCAATTTATTATGTATGCAATTTTATATTAATAATATACGGATTAGAATCTAAATATCAAGAGAGTGTGTTAGTTTAGCGAATTATCAAAAATTTATACATAAATTTAGTAACATTTGAGGAAAACAGTGAGCAAAAATTATCTTGCGCATATGAAGCACCCTTGCCACACAACAGATGCTATGAAAAATCGATGAATAATAACGAAACGAGGGCAGCAAAAATTATTAATTTAAAAAACTGGGGAGATCGTTGGCGACCTAGCGTAGTTATGTGGATATACAAATCAAAAAGTAAATTTTACAATTTAAGGGTCCGTTATATAAACGTATATTTTGTGTATTATAAAAAAAATTTTAATCTGATAATCGATGAAATTGCAATTTATTTAGTTTGCAATAATAGTCGCCTTCAATATAATTGTCCTGTTAGCATGGAAAACAAATGTTTACCAATCGCAAAACTATGCGATAGTGTTTATGATTGCAATGATGGAAGCGATGAATTATTTTGCCCAGCTAGAAGTAAATTATAACCCCCTTAAAATTTAATAGTAGCATAATATCAATTAAATACAAGCTAGTTGTCTAAAAGACAATGGTGGATGTGAAGATGTGTGCATTGAAACTAATAATGGAATATTTGGTTATGTGCGGTGTTTATGCGCTAGAAAAAACTATATTATGCATGAGGATAATATGCATTGCATCAAATCAAATATTAGTAATTTCAATCGTATAAAATTATATTTTTAATTATTAACATTTTAAGTATACATATAGGATTAGGTTGGGATATGGAATCCGAATATAAATTTAAAATCATTTACTGAAGATGATTTCTATCCAGCACATGTAGATTTAATTTTGGACAATTTTGGTAAAGTTGCTTGGGTATTTTTAATTTTTATGAAAAATATCTAGAAATTCATATAAATTGAGAGTAAATTAAGATTATTCACAGATTGTTCAAATTTTTTAAGTTTAAGAGTCATCATTAGCAAATGATTTAAAATTGAGAGATTCCAAATCATAAAGAATTATATCCCAATATGGCATTCAAAAAATTTTTTTTAAATGACTGCTTAGATCTGTAAACAAATATACTATAGAGATATATTCTATGTCTTAAAAAATTAGAAATTACAATTATTAATTTGAATTATAGGTGTTAATGATAAAAACTCAGAATCGGATTTCTACATGACAAATGAAAGTACATTAATTAGCTTATAATTAAACTTATATTAAATGGGTCTTATTAGCCTTAGAATCGATAACATCGGATAGGGATAAAAGTTATTTTGAAGATTTACTAGGGTTTGATTTGCCCAAAGTGAATATTGATGCTTACAAAAATATGGCACCTCTTTTAGTATCATTACATTATACACAATATAATAAGTCAATTCCCTATCTTTCTTTTCATGGAGAAATTCGGGGATATGGATTTGTAATAATAATTTTTAAAAAGCTTAAGTTTTAGACTCTACTAGATTTTGTTGTACGCCGAAAAAGAATTGATATTGGATATACCCACAATGAGAAAAAATTTTGAAGGCGACTATATGTGCGTAAGATGGGACATGTACTGTGACACACTCGGGAATCTTTCAATGGAACCTAAGCTTATTGATCAAAAATATATAAAAGCACTAAGTAATTTATAAATTTTAAAACATGATACTATTTAAATATTATATTATAAAGGCCCTCATAAATTCTTTCAAAAATCACGAATTAGTTTAACAAATATTTTCAAATCCACATCGAATGATAATCTTTCCCAAACGCGAGTTATATATGTTGTATCCCGTTTAGAATCCATATTAGTATGGGTTTTCGCAATTTTGTTTATTTTGACGATAATTGCATTTTTGATCTTGTTGTACAGTTACCGAAGGATTGAAAGTAAATTATCAATCTCTTATATTGTTCTTAATTAATTTTTTCCTTTGGATTATTATAAAAATCAAATGGTAGAAATGTTCGATTTTCAATATTTTTCTAAAAAATGATGATTTAGCAGAAATCATGAAAATCGTTTATACTATTGTTATTAGAGTATAACTTAGAAAAATAAGAGGTAATATTAATCAAATTTACGATATGATTGTATAGACGAAATAAAAGTTATATGATTTTGAGACTCGCAAACCTCGGCTTGTACAGAGGCAAACAAAATAACCGTCGCATTTCCTAAGCCCAAATCAATAAGCGATTTGTTATTCATTGACTCTAACTAGGGCTATGCTGATATTTTTGCCAATATTAAAATGATATGGTTATAAATGTGGATATCTCTGAATTGCCAGAAGATAAGCAGTAAATTTTTAATGCATAGCCATCTTAGAATGTTAATAAAACTTTAAAATAATTTATCAAACAAAAATATATTAAAGAATAGTCAGCATATGTTGTAGATCGGGTTTTAACAATTTTTTGCTGATCCGATACAAAATAAATTCTTGACCTGCCGATTCTAATTCCTCCTTATAATGATTTTGTTTTATAACAAGTTTTAATGTTATATCGATATTCCAAGATGTTTATGCATAAAAAATCTCTAACCAATTTAAAAGTATTATTTCGCAATATTTAAAAAATTAAATATCCGGCCCAACTTTATTTAGTAGATATTAAGGTATCTTACGGTCATTGATTTCAGAATTTAATATAAGAAAAATTTTAGGAAATAATCTTCCGAGAAAGATCAAGGAAGTATTTCATTCTTTAAAATATAATCAAGAGATTTTTCCAAATATATTAAAATTAATGTATATTTTGAAACAATACCAATAAGCCTAAGCACGGTCGATTGAATGGATTAGTTCTAATGTACATAGATATCTGACTCCATCTTGGCTAAGTTCGGGTTTAAATATAAATTACCCAAACTGTCGATCGGATAATTAGTTTATTTTGTAAAATTTTTAAATAGCTATGAAAGTTTTGATGGTAAAAAATTTGGATGGAAATCAGGTTAGGACAGATGTATTAGGAGTAAAAAAACATATAAATCAAGTCTGAACCGAACAGTTATTACTTTTGTTAGAAAATAATCATAAAATGGCTAAAATTTCTGAACCAAATTTGGACTCTAATCGGGTCATAAACCTAAATAAATTTGGGTCCAGATGTGGTACTGTATTGGGAAAAATGTTCCAAATACGGGTCCGGAGGTTCCAAACTGCAACAACATATTTGAATTATATGGCTTAACATTTATAAAGGTATTATTTTTACATTAATTCATGAGAATAATTTATAGTTATTGTATTAATTTCCGTTTCATGTCATAACATTAGATTTAAATAAGACTAATTACTCCCAAGAGAATACCCAGAACCAGAATATACCAACTGAATACAAAAATCAAGGACTCCATTCTAGACCTGTAAGTAACGAAGAGATCAATTTAGACCTAGAAAGCCCGAATGTTAGTGATAGTGACTATATGAAAAACAGAGCTGGTAGAAATTCACCAAAAGCGGAATCTAAAGACAGTTCTACGATGACAAATCCTACTTTGATGATGGCCAGCAGAGGTTTTGACTCAAGATTAGGACTCTACGAATACAAACGCGATGAACATGGGAAGTGGAGACGTAGCTTTCTTTACAAATCATAGGCAATCATAAAAACATATTAAGCAATTATGAATTCGTTTTAACAAAAAAAGTTGTAAATAATTAATGCGTTTTAATTTTACAAAAACTAATTAATACATTTATTTATAAATAAATTTATTATTCTTATCATAAAAGAACATATACAGGATAATTATTAATTTATCTTAAGGTTCATAAGTTATAACCAATAAGTAACGCAAATAATATATCATTAAAAAATAACTTTTATTATAATATATTAACTTTTCTGATATAACCACATAGAATCGATTCCATCTTCAATTTTAAAAATCAATTTTAAGTCATCAATCTTATAGGGTAAAATTTTAGCATCCGTTTCTCGGGTTATCAACGGAAACCGGCATGTTATAACTTTACTCCCCTGGTCTAATTCTTTTATTATTTTATCCTTAAGTCGTGGCATCATCTCCTTTACTCCAAACACGACTACAGTTCTGTATTGACTCAAGGGCATGTTCCATAAATTTTTACGGTAAAACCTTATGTCTGTAAATACATTACCTGATTTTTGACTGGTAAGTCGGATAAATGTTTTGAGATAGACCTTAACAATCGTTGAATATAAAATAAGCCAAGGATTAAGCTCTATACCATGGGCCACTAATCCCATTTTTGCTGCATGCAAAACCAGTCTTCCATCTCCACTACCCAAGTCAACTAGGGGACCTTTACAATGTTTTAGCAAGTGAGCGAAGTTTTTGATCTGACCCTGTGTGGCAGGTAAATAGGGAATGCATATTTTGCGTAAGGCGGGAGTCAAAAAAGGTAAGACTACTGCTTTGATTACTAGTAAAGTGCCACCAGCTACCGCTATAAGCTTCCAAGATCTCCCTTTTTTGTGTTGATCTAGTTGAGTGTTTACTAATGTAGTGGAAAGTGTCATTGCTCATCCTGGCTTTGTTTGGGAGCTTTTATTAAAATATTTTAAAAATATATTCAACAAATATAATATTTCTAAAATCATATTTAATAGTGCCTTATAGAAAAGTGTTATAGGGCATCGTCGTTACCCCCCCCCCCCCCACCCAAATAAGTAAAAGTGGTACTGAAGTGAGATATAAACGATCATGTTTATCGAATAACATTATTGACTATTATCAAAATCTAATTATTTAATCTCTTTAAAGGTTTTTTAATACATTTATAGTATAATCCAGGGTTATCAAACTGATCAATTGGCCAGTCAAATAAGGTCATTGATCGAAAGTATTTGACAAGTCATATAATGTTAAGTCTTGATCGAGTAGTTATTTAATTTCTCACATATCCATTTTTTTTTAAAATGTAAAAATATACTAAGTGCAATATTTTCCTGCAAGAGCTATCAACATGCCATATCTTCTACTTTAAGTACAATTAGTTTAACGAGGTGGGCCGCTTCTATAAAATAGACAAATTTGTTAAAGAGCTAAAAAGCGTCTATCGTTGAAGAAAATGTTTACTGGTTTGACCATGTTAAACAAAGAAAATTTAAAGTTTTTATATATATTTAACCGGTAGATATGTTACTGTCAAGAATTCAAGGGGACAGATGAACTTTGTTCCAAGTAAAGAATAAGATGTTAGCTTTAGTGCAGCATATTATTCAATCATGCCAAGACTCAACATTTTCTCCATCAGAAGAAAAAAATTTTATAAATGTTTGAAATAAGAAAAAATGATCTAAATACAACTGCTCACAATGCTACCTATTTATTAAATCCCCAATATCAAGGACAACATCTCATGAGAATTTGACGAAAGTTATGAATAGGATAACAGAAATAGGAATTCTGAAAGGTGGTGATAATCATGCTATCTTAAGTGATATAATAAATATTTGCTGTAAAAGTGGTATCTTTGATAAACAAAATAATATGGAACGCCAGAGAATTCATAGCCATTAATCAGATTTTGGCATCAAGCTGTTGGAATTGACTTACTCCACTTTGCAGTTTATGGGAAGCAAATATCTTATTAACTCTTCCAAGTTCAACTTATTCTTCATAAAGAAATAGGTGTGTTTGAGGTAATATTCATTTAAAGAACCGAAATGAATTGAAAACTTCTATTACAGGAAAATTAGCTAAAGTTTATCATATTTTATTTAAAAATATAAAAGAAAATTATTATTCAATATATCCAGAAAACGACTCTTTCATAACAAAACAATATTTCAAGAATGAATCATCAAATTAATAACATGCATTTGTTTATGAATATATTTTGTACATTTGTTATTACATATAATAAAGTGAATACTATCATAAAACCCAGTCAAATACCCAACCCTGAATTACTTAAAAGAGTTATAGAATATATGTATAATGGTTAATTTCTTGAAAAACAGTGTTGAAATTAGAGATCTGCAAAAGTAGGCTTGGCCCGTTACCAGCCTGAATGGGCCTCAGGCTGGACCTATTTTTTAAAAAAAATTTGGCCTGGGTTGGGCCTTAGAAGTTTTTTAAAATATCTAAATTTATCAATTTTATGTTGAATTTTTTATATAAAATAAAAATATTTGATTTTATCTATAGAAACTAGACACCATATAACATACATCGGTTATTTTGAGTAATTATAAAAATCAATTTCTATATTTAAATAAATTCGGCCCAGGCTGGGCAAAACTTTTTAAAAAAAATTTTAGGATGGGCCAGGCTTAAAAATTAGGTAATATATTTTTTGTGATACAAAATTCCATTTATTTAGAATCTTTTGTTGCAATGACTCTATAAACTGCTGGTCTTGAGTCTTATATCCCAACTGTTTGTTTCATACATGGTTGCATAATTGATATTAAAGAAAATTGATAGGTATTTAATTTTTTAAATCAAGAAAATTAAATGGGCATATATTTAATGAAATTTATATAAATTAGTAGAAATGGCCCTATGTAGTTTAAACTGCACAAAAAATCTTTTCACTAGAGTATTCACATACAAGTGCTTCACATTAACTTGAGTATTAACTTTACATTGTGGGTTGATGAAAAATAAAAAAGTTCATAAGTGTAGACAAGATTTTCCTATGTGGGGATTTTGGCCTATCAACTGTAAATATTAGAAGGTTTTCTGATTTTTCAGGTCAATAAATAGGTACCATTCTTATTCTAAAAAATTCACTTATAGTCATTATTAAATCATTCATATTTTTTATTGTTGAAATTTGGTTAGAGGAAACCAATGGATCAATACAAGAATACCAGATAAGGAATTGGCCCCTCTTCCAATGAATTTAAGAGACACTGTCAGGGCATTTCTCTTTTATTCTACAAGATGGCCAGTTAATAAATAGTATTTGATTAAATCTAAATAATCTCATCTTAAGTTAATATTTAAAAAATAGATTATTTGATTTAAAAAGAAATTAAACATAATATGGCAGAAAATATATTAAAGTCTTACTACTTCTATGCATCATAACTCAGATACGAACTTAAAAAAGGAAAATCTTTTCACAATATAAATCAACAAATTATCGATTTAAAAGTGATGATATTGGACAGACAACTTTGACGTTTAAAACATTTTGTCAATTTTCTAGCAGAATTTTCTGAAATAACCAAATATTAAAATTATATCTTATAGGTGCACTGGCTTTTTTAGACGTGTTTGATAGTTATATTATTTAATTATGAGATTTTCTTATAAATGTTTTCAAAAAAACGCTATATTTACATTTTGGGTATGTTATTTTACTAATAAATGTTTTAGCAAATTATTCATCTAATTTTAGGCTACGTCCAATTAAATTTTAAAAGTGCTCTGTTAAATCTTTTCATCTAAGTCAAACGACAAATAAAAAAAACGCTTTGAGCTGAGTATTGATGGATAATGGAATGGCTAAGTTATACTCATTTAACCAGGGGCCCCTACAACGGGGGGGGGGGGGTCCGAAGCAACTGCTTCAGTAAATTTGAGTGGGGGTACTTTTTTTTTACATCCATCATGATCATGTGATTTTTGCTTTATAAATGTAATAATAAGACCCCCCCCCCCACCACTTAATATTTAATTTAATATATTGACGGAAATTTTGGTCGATGTTTAGTAAATTTTATTTAATATCTAGTAACCAAGCCTTCTGGGGGAACAGACAACAAGAAGGCAATATGATGGCCCTTATTGAGCTTATTGCAGATTCTGAACCTATACTAAAAATGTATACACAGCAAAATGAAGAAAGAAAAAAGGATAAAAAAAATAAATGATTAAAAACGAAATTATATTCAAACCTATTATCATATAATAATAACATAAACATTCTCATTGAAACCATGAAAAATATGGTTATAAAAAAAATTCAAAATGAGATTACATTTAACAGGTGCTTTTCAATCATAGTTGATGGCACATACGATGTTTCGAAATCAGAAGCAATAGCTTTGATAGTAAGATATGTTGAAAATAGTGAGACGCCGAAGCCTGTTGAAAGACTTATTGACATATATTGTAAGGGAAATACCACAGGTCTCGATATAAAGCATAATATAATATCCAAACTTGGCTCGATGAATTTACCCCTTGAGTATCTAGTTGGGCAAAGTTATGATGGCGCCTCAAACATGAGTGGAAGAATCAATGGTGTGCAAGCCTTGATTAGAGCAGAGGCGCCAAAGGCAGCTTTTATTTGGTGTTATTGTCATCGATTAAATTTAATCGTTGTTCAATTATGCCAATCAATTAAAAAACTTCGAAATGTTCTAGGAATACTAGATGAGATTTATGTCTATTTTAATGGTGTAAAAAGATATGAGGTACTCAAAAAATTTCAGTGTAATGATCTGAAAAAATCGCAACGATTTCTACGCGTCAAGAATACCACTCGGTAATAGTTCCTTATTTATTTAAATTTTAAATGTTTTTTTTTATTTAGAAGCTGGCTATCGTCATATAAAGCTATTGTAAATTTTTTTAAACTTTATGATGCTTTGAGGGCAGCTTTAACAAATTTAAAGGATTCTGAAGATCCTGCCACTTCCACTATGGCTAGTGTTATAGTCTTTAGAATAGAAAAATTTGATTTTATCTTATCACTTTGTGTTTTGGATAAAATATTGTTGATAACAAGTTTGGCTTGTACAAAATTGTAAACCATTTCGAAGGATATAGGGTATGCAATAAATCAAATTCAATTGGCAAAAGATTGCTTGATTAATTTGAGAAGTATAATATAAATATTTTTTAATCTAATAGATAATAACACTGAATTTTTGGATATTTTTCAAAGGCACAAGATTTTATGAAGGAGATAAATCTACCTTTTGATTTTGAAAGTTATAGACTTCAAACATTACAATCCAAAAAGGAGAGGTATATATACTTTCATCATTAAATATAGAAATTATTTTTAGCTTTAAAATAGGTGTGTTTTATGCTGCACTCGATTTAATTATTATGCAGTTTAACGAAAGATTTAATGATGATTCAATGAAATTTTACATCAAACATCATTTTTTACGCCAAAGGGAATGGCAGAAAAATCAATTATTAAAGAAGATATCGAGGATATCTGTGAATTTTACAATTTAAATTCAAGTCAAATTTTCGAAGAAATGTTGAAGTTTAGAAATATTTATAAGATGGCCAAAATGGGGAATGTAATTATTACTCATGACCTAGAGGTTCAAGAATCTAAAGATTTGTCAGATTCTGAGAATTGTAAATTTATTTAATTAAAATATTTTTACCAATACATTATTTAGCTTCTTCTGATGATGATGATAATTCAGGGACTTACGATTCAGATTGGAAAAACTATTCATTTATTTTACCTTATCGTTTACTTTTAAATTTTTCTGCTTTCCCTAATTTAAGAATTTTATATAAATATTTATTAACCATTCCCACAACCTCATGTACTGCCGAAAGAGTCATGAGTAAAATTAAATTAATTAAAACAAGACTGCGCAGTACCGTGAAAGATTCTTTTCTCAATAATTTAACCATATTATCAATGGAAAATTTTTTATTTAAACAATTAAATACTGATGAAATTATAAATTCTTTCGCTTTCTCTTACCCTAATTTATCTAAATTATTAATTTAAAAATAATATTTATAAAGTTATATTTTTTGCATTTTATTTATATTATATATTAAAAATTGATGCAATAAAAATTATTTTTGAAATTTATGGGTGTCATAATTATCATCATTTTTTCGAAAGAGGGGGGGGGGGGATAGGTTCTTTTCATGGGCGTATTCTGCTTCATTCGCTCAAAAAGTGTAGGGGCCACTGCATTTAACAGTAACTTTAAAAAAATATTATATTAGTTGAAGTCATATAAGGTGTAATGATTAGCTACCAAACACTTTGAAATAAAAATAAGAAATCAGATGATCAGAAAAGTTTATAGATGTTTTGTATATCATGGATTTATTTGAGATGACCGAGTTAATCTATAATTATTCTATTTGGCCTTCGAGGCATAGTTTGAAGATTTATAACTTTTATTTTATTTATAAGTATTTAAATTTGTATTTTTTTGTATAACATTAAACAATTTTCATATTAGTTTTATACAAAAAATAATTTTACTTAAATGATTTTATTTAGATTAAACTATTAAAAAAATATTATATATAAACTCGATAAAAGTTGTAAAGATCAGTCGAAATGAAATGTAATTTATTGTTTTAAAATATACACAGTAAAAACCTCTTAATTGCATATCGCCAAAGTGTAAAATTTTTAAATGCGAAAAAAATCATTTTGTTAAAATCTACAATGGTATAATGTTAAAATATTTTTCCAAATACAAATCGGTTAATTGCGAAATATCGGTTAAATACGAAAAATTTTAAGTTTATGTTAACAACGCTATTATTATGGGACAATTGCGAAGCAGTGATTTTTGAATTGGAGTTTAGCACTAATTAATTAAGAAAATATTTTTGAATTTACATCAATCCATTAAATACTTGACACCCAATTTGATGGGTTTCTTTTGAGGATAGCGAAAATATCAAATCATAAAAAAATATAATATGAAATGAGGTTAGGTTAGGTTTTCCAGTGCAGGTTAATGCTACAAATGAAGATAATGAATATCAAGATTAAAAAGTTATTACCGAACTTTTTCAGCCATATTAATCTAATTAGAATATTAAAATTGAACATCTTATTTCACAAGAAATTAATATATTTTAAATTTTGTTCCTTTAGGATAAATCAAAATCCAATTGATATGAACATTAAATCTCTTAAAATCAATAGTAGTCATTTAAGACTACACTAGGGAATTTAAACTTAAAATCAGCCACCTCCCACTCTTAAAGTATAAATTATACGGAAGTTCATGAGTGTAGGCTTTTATCTTGCCCATATTCTTTTCTTAGCCTATAGAAGTAAATAACACTTCTCCGACTGTTGTGTCAAGTACATGTGGACTGTTGTGTCAAGTACATGTGGCCAGGGATGTGAACTCGAACCAGGGTTCAGGAAATTTAAATTGTTTGGTTGGACATTTTGAAACCACAGAACAAACAGAGACCGATTTTAGGACAACTCATTAAACCCGAGGTGAAATGGACCTGGGGCAGGTTCGGACACCTTTTAGGAAATCGGTTTTGATTAAGTTCCTGATTTTCATTTAATAAAATTTAAAATTATTGAATTCGGGTTCGGGTTCACATCCCTGTATGTGGCATGCCCACAAACGTGTAGAGAGCTCATCATTTTTAATTTTTCATCCAACTTAATTTAATCCAGTTAGATCTGTTGAACTTTCAATGACAGAAGGCATAAGCACTATAAATTATAAAATAACGTATTTGAGACTAGGCGCTTAATAATCACGTATAACATATTATTATTTTATGCTTAAATTGTCATTAGAAAATTTAACATATAGAATCAATGACATATAATATGTCATTGTATAGAATAGAATCGAAATTATCACAATGCCTTATAAATAAATCATTAGCAACTAAGAAAATTAGCTTTCCGAAAAAAGAGTCGCATTATTAATTTGGCTTTTACAGATACAGGGCCCAAGTTACAACCTGAATGGCCTTGTTATGCTAGAAAAAGGTAAAATTTACAGCACATTTGATGAGGTAGTTCTAAATTTTATAAATATCTACAGTTTTTATAATTCCAGGTGGCTGAAGAGATTTAGAAAAGGACAAAATATTATTTTCACACAATCTGCAAAGTAAGAGGGAGCACCGGTATCCGAAATTTTTTTGATTTATTAATTTTATGGAAGGGCATGATAGTAAAGAAAGTGATTACTTGAATGATGTTATAACCCAAACCTTATTATTTACCTAACAAAAGCAAAGCAATGAATGGATGTTACACCTTTATCGTATGCAAATGCTAACTTGAAGGACCAAGAATCATGAAGAAGGTTAGAAATCATTGTAGAAGGCCTTTTTAAAATATAATTACAAATAATTTCAAATCATTTAATTTTATAAAAAATATTTATCTGTTTATTTATTTAATATAATAAAGGAAAATAAAATATCACCTGTGTAATTTTAATTTTGCAATTCATAAATT